ATAGGCCAAAACAAAAATAATGGCGTTATTTTAAGTGTTAATTACAATTTTTTATTTTAATTACATATAGTAAAAAGCATTTATTTATGGGTTTTATATTTGTGGGTCAATGAACCAATCAATTGCAAAACCTACAAATTATTATTTTGATATGAAACCTTAAATTTAAGTTCATTTAAATAAAATTTGTAGTTTTATTTAATTAAAAAACACTATATTTTATTTAAAAACTCTCATATCATTGAAATTTTTTATTTTTTATTTATTCTTTTTGTACTTCTTTTATTTAAGGTGAAAAAAACAACTTATTTAAAAGAAAAAAATACAAAAAATATTAAATGGTGAATATAATTTACTAGACAATTCCATGATAAAATCACAAATAACTATTTTATCTCTGTTTTAAAATTTACAAACAAATGCTTTTTACTGTGATTTCAATAAAAAATTCAACCAACATAATACAAATCGTTATTATATTTAATCATTTTTTGTTATATAAAACAACTTACGAAATACAACTTTAGTTACAAATTGATTTAAACTCTATTTATAATCTAATAATTAGTAATATAATCATTATAATTATAATTATTATTATGATAATTATCACCAAATAATAAAAACATAATAAATTGGTCTTTAAACAATTGTGAAATGTTTAAATTTATACCTATTGACATTCTCAAAACGTTGTCCTTTCTTTAACGTTGTTCCTCAGTTTTCTGATAATAATAACTAAAATATATCCAGAAAATTTTTTTAAATGCAAAAAATTGTTTCAGTTTATTTTACTGTTTTTATGATTTATTACCTAATTCCGAATTATTTATAATTTTTTGTGTATTATAATCGCAAAAGAAACAAAGTTAAAAAATAGACTCTATTTGTAAAACTAAACAATGAAAACTCTATGTTTGTCATACAAAAATGTGTTTTTCAATATACAGCAAAACCACTCAAATAATACATCTGAAGATCAGGTTCTCTCAAGAGAGGGCATTTTAAGACTAAAACTAAAAATTTGGTTTTCTTTCAAATGGGTTTTAAGGTTTGATTGGCTAAAATGCCTGCTCTTAAAAATCCAAAATTACAACACCCTCCCACTCTTGTAAGTTTTTACAATTCGAATTATTTTTTTATTGACTGTTTATAATTAGAGCGATTATAAATTATTTTTTGTATTATAAAATAAATTCTGAAAACACTGCAAATTAAAATTTAGTCAAATCCAATCACATCAATATTAACCTTTCCTTTTTTTACATTGATTGTGATATTGTGTGTACCTTCTTCGAAAGCGCAAGCATGGTAAAGTGTTCGAAGTGTTAATGATTTGGTGTTAATTTGAAAGTCATATTCTACTTCTTTACCATCAACAAGAACTTCAAGTTTACCAAAAGAAGTGTCGTAGTCTCCAAAGATACCAATACGCTTTCCGACCATATTAAATGTTATTTGACCTTTTCCATCTTCTGTGTTATCTAATAATACGTTTTCATAATGACCAGGAGCCTTACGAGCGACAAATCCAGTCATTGTTACGCCAGAGTCTGTTGGTTTAAATAAATTGGTGTACTTTTGTTCAATGTAAAATAACACATCGCTTAGAGTGATATAATTGGCATCATTTGCATTGTTAAGCACTTCAAACTTTAAGTAATTGCACTTCTGGATTTTTGAGAATGACAATGTACGTGGGTTAACGTTGCTCTTTTCGACTGTTATTATATTCTCGAGTTGTTCTTCAACCAAACCACAGTAAATAGTGAAGTTGCCAAATGTGTCTTGCCAACGTCTCATACGAATTTCCATTACATTGAAGTAAACCGTTTCATTGAAATGGAAGAAAAATGTTGTTGGGAAGGTTGTACCACTTCCAATCCAAGCTGAGTGGTAATAAGTTGCTTCATTCCGATCAAATATACTATTACAAACATTACCCGAACCTGCAGGTGGTGGTAGTTCTAAACATTCGACATCACATTCATCTTTATTGCATATTGGGGAGGTTGTCATTTTGTAGTTCAAATAACGAATTTGACGGCTGTATTTTATTGGTGGGAAGACATACTCTTTTTGGAGGTCTCTTGGTCCCAATCCTTTGGTGTACACGTACGTTGGTGGGACATCTACTATACTACAAGATGAGACATTTACTTCTGATTCTTTAGTACCATGGTAGCAAAATCCAACATTCATTCCGCCTTGTCCTCCCGCATTATAATTCTGCAAGATGAAATTGTAATAATAATTTGCTTTTAACAACACTGTTTTATATGAGCCTTCTAAATTCTTTTGGTAGCTTGAAATGTACGTGTTAACTGTTGCAAAACGAGTGTATTTGCCATCTTCCAATTGCATATCCAAAGTGCCCATTTCGTCTGTTTTAATAAAAAGGGTGTAATAGCCATCATCTGGAACAACTAAAGTTCCCTCAATTTTATTGAATGTGGGTGTATCGACATCATTAACTTTGTCATTGTAATTGTTAATTTGCATTGCATTGGAGTATCTTATATAATCGTATTTTGACATGTCGCGTCCTTTCATTATTGCCTCGACATCCGACATATTGTTTAGATTTTTTTCAGATACGACCTTATAGCCATATCCACGTCGCGCTTTATTTTCAGTGACAAACTCTCCTTCGTAGATAATTTCTCCGTTCTCTCCGTTGGCATTAAAGGTAAACTTTATTTTAAAAGTATCACCGTCACTTGGGTTGTATGTTGGGGTATAATCATAAACATTTTCTTCAATCTTTTTGATGTTCCCCTTTGTAAGTCCTTGAAGTATTTCAAACTTGATGTTCTTTGTTGTTTTATCCATTGCAGTAGCGGCTGTAAAGTTGAGTCTTGTTGTAATATTATATGGCAATGTATAAGTTCTACCATATTTATTGCCGTTGTATGTGTGCGAGTAACTCATGAAAAATGGGAAGAAAGTTGGGTATTTGTACTTCTTGATCTCGGCAAGTATATTTGCGTCAATTGCCCACTTGAAAATATTGCAGTAATATTGTGTGTCTCGTTCAATTGCTCTTGCTAACAAAAGACAGAAAATTCCAGAATCTGTTCTGGTCTTTCCAAACGTTGTGCCATAATTTTCATTGTAATACATGTTATAATAATTGTCTATTAATTTTTTCACCACAATTGTGCCAAATCCAAAAGCTGGAGTCACGTATGTTCTCAAATAAAGTTGATCCTGTGAATTATCAAAAACAGGTTTCATTGTTGCAAACCCGTCAGTGATATACTCCCAACCAGAAAATCCTGCACCTCTTTTTGCAGAAATGTTGTTATAATCAATGTGGAAGATCGCATTTATTACATTGTTGTTCGTCTCAGAAGCACCCATTCCCCATTTACCATCTTCGGCGTATGTTCCTTCCATGTGGTGATTCATTTCATGCAAAGTTCCCCAATTGAGTTGATTTATCATATCCCGTTTATTGACAGTGGAAGCAGCCCACGAGCTTGGCATTTGACAAAACCATGCACCAACAAAAGCGACAGCAGCACCAGCATCAACTCTTTCGTCAAACATCATAGAAATTGGCATGGGGAAAAATGTCCCAGTAACAGTGTTCCCAACACTAATTGCTTCATGCCACCATGTTCCTACAAACTCTGCGTCTTCAACTTCTCTGACATTTCGTGCAGTCATGATGAGTCTGACTCCGGGTGTTCTGATTTCAGCAACATTTCCTGGAGCATTTCTCAACTCTTCATTCCACTGTTTGTTTGTTGTTTCACCATAATTGATTCGGGGAGTAAGTCCCAAGTTGTCGAAAGTCAAAAAGAATGGATTCCAACCTTCAGTACTACCACCCGTCATCACATAAACTCCGCCTCCAAAAGGTGATCCCAATTTGTATTGCCGATTATTGTCTAGCACAGATTCTTTAAGTGGGAATTGGTAAGAGTCTAATGGCATTCGGTTGTTGGAAAACTTAGCAACGTCTAGCCAATGTCTATCAACATATCTGCTACACTTTCCTATACAAAGCGCAAGATTTCCTTCACCAATGTTGAGGTCTTGAGGAACTGTCACTGTAAACAACTCACCTGGAAATACCCAACCAACTAGACGCATTCCAGTCAACTTGCCCATTATTCCGTATTTAATAGATACTCTGTCCGCTTCCCAGTTAACACCAGTTGCTTCAAATTGTTTTTCTCCGCCCAATTCAGGATCCATTCGTCCGTAGGATCCATTGTTTATCATTGTCAATAAATCTGCCCATATTTGGGTGTTTTCTTCAATGATGGCAGTTTTCTCTTCAGTTGTGAATGTTTCTTTTGTTCCCCAATATGGATATTTTGTGTATTTCATCTTCATTATCTTTGGCTTGAGACCAGCGAATTTGGTGCGAGAAATAACTTCAAGTGAGTCTAATTCATTGACCATGTAAGGGTTGTTGACAACCAACTTGGGACTCGGAGGTATTTCACCAGAAGAGTCGTCTTTGGAAAGAACAACACCAAGAGTAACTGCGATAATAATAACAACACAGAGTGCAGAAATGATAGAAACTCCTACAATTAATCCAATAAATAACTTATTCATCTTTTAATGATTTAGAATGTAATATAAAGACGCTTTTATTGCAAACGGAAAACTGACACTATAATTTGTCTCGATACACTAGCAACGAATTTTTGTAAGTTTGAATATTTGGTTTGTTTTGAAAACTTATTTTTATTGATAAATAATTTTTTAATCACTTTAAATGAAATTGAACAAAATTCAAGTGGTCTGTAAATCGGGAAATCTAGAGTTTATTAAATAAATTTTCGTTTTTTAAAGTTTAAATTATGAGCATAAACAATACACAAGCCAAAAGTGAAAATCTTCAAAAATTTAATTAATATAAAGGTAAAAACAGGCCAAAACAAAAATAAGAAAGTTATTTTAAATGTTAAGGTGGCATTTTTATAATTATAAAGGTCCAGTAAAAAAACAAATGTACCTAAAATTGTAATATATCAAGTGAAGTTTATTTAAATAAAAAATATAAGCATAAAATGTTTATTTTATAGTTTATCTTTTTTGAAATTTAATTCTATGTTTTTGTAAATTCAAACAATTCTTTGATTTTAAAAACGAACTTTTCGGCTATTTTTGATTAATTCGATTTTAGAATATCATTTTAAAATAATAATTTCTTCTAATATTTTGTAATATTTTGTAATATTTAAACAAATTATTATTATTAGACAAATTATATTGTTAATTTCTTATTACTTATAGATATAAATACAATTACACAGTAAAATTACTCTATATTTATTGTTTTACTTCTGTGTCAATTTGTTATCACATCTATTAATATATGAAAACAAAAACATAATAAAAACTTATATTTTTTCACATTATTCGTTCATTAAACAAAATAAAACACCAAATTTTTAATACATTAGGAACAACAATAATTATCTCTAACCATTTTTTTTCGTAATTTCTTTTTTGATAATTATTTGTTTATTTATTCAACTAACCATTTTAATTTTTAATGAAATAAAAAAAGTTATTTATAATTATATAAGTATTCAATTAACATTCATTAACTATCACCTTTAAAAAAAAATCAAATATTCAAATTTTAAGTAAATTTTTAAATATAAATTAAAAAGTAAGAGATTTGGGAAATGTTTGAGTTGGTTTTTATTTTAGTCAAGAATGTAATATCATCAAGTTGGTAATACTGGTTAATATACAATATTTTAGCAACACCTAAACAGTTTGTTTCTCATTCACTTTTTGTGTCTTTTTGGGAATGGAATTGGTGACTTTTTAAATTAACACTTTAAATAACACCAAACAAAATTCAAATGTAAAAAAGGAAATCTTGAGTTTATAAAATATTAACTATGTTTTAAAAGATATTATTATATTAAGCCAAAAAGTAAAAAAACACATCAAATTACAATATATCTCAGTAAAACAAATTAATTTTAAAAAATTGGGTTATTCTTAATGTTGAGTCAACAACCACATTAATAATTACTTTTTATAATCACAAGAAATTGATCAAAAAACAAAAATATAAACAATTTGTTATATTAACAATAATCAACACGTTTTAGTAACTATTTAAATGCACAAAACTTGTTTTGTATACAATTTTTTATGTTAATAAAAGACTCGAAAAACAATAGAAATACCTTTTGTTAAATGTTTTTCTAATTCTTGGATACAAATTAAGTGCTGTTATATTGTATTTGTTGCTCATTGTGTTGTTATAAATGTGTATTAAATCTGTAATTGCTTTGTAAACCTTTTAAAAAATATCACTGGCTCACAATACACGCATTGAGATAGTAGAATAAAAATTGTGTTGCGGAAGTGTATTGTGTTGATAATGATTTTTTATTATTTTGTATTGTTATTTTTCGTTTTAATTAAAATAATATAATAAATTATCATATTTATATATTGTTAAACTTTAGTTGTTATTACTTTATACCTCAATAAACTAATGATCCATTTTAGTTACTATTATTTTTATAAAATTCGGAACTAATAAAATTGGTGTAATTTAAAATTCAAATGACAAGACTTGATGTGTTTTCATTGCAGATTGTAACAACTTATCTAGTCGATTCAATTGACTTCATTAACGTTGTTTGTGTATGTAAAATGTACGAGTACGTGCTTGAGAGAATCAGAATCAACCCAATACAAATAACACCATAAAACACGCACTTATTTCCTAATATTCAGACACAAAATTTGTTTTCTCCATTTGACATTCAACTCACAAACACGTCAATTGAACGACTCCAATTTTCTTATCCTGTTACGTACAACAAATTTATAGAAGAAAAGAAACACTTTAATGTTTGTCGGTTTGTGAAATACACAAAAGAAGACAGACTAAAGTATGGCAACACAATTCCTCAAAATGTGTATTGTATTGACAACAACTGTTTCAAGAATTGCAAGGAACACATGGTAGAAATTCCATTTGGTGTCCAAGTAATATTAAATGACGCTTTTAAATGTGCGCACATACAAGAAATTGCCATACCAGACTCGGTGACGTTTCTTGGTGATTGTGTGTTTAATGGGTGCACCAATTTAACACGTGTGACACTTCCCTCTTCACTTAAATACATCCCCTCACAGACTTTTGAAAAATGTGTGTCGCTCAAAGAAGTTAAAATCCCGTCAACTGTAACTGCAATTGGATATGACTGTTTTGGTGATGATTGTGGAGTACTCTCCATTGTTGTTACACCAAACATATGTGTTTCACTCAATGCTTTTGAATGTTCAAATTTGAATCACATCGAATTTGTTGGGCAAATGTATATAGCTGATTATGTGTGCGGGTATTGTTCGTTGTTAAAAAGTGTTAAAATGGACACCACAGTGCAGGGTATTGGGAGTCACTCGTTTTATCAGTGTGAACAACTTGAATACATTGATGTCCCATCATCACTTCAAATCATCAACATGTCCGCATTTGAAAAATGCACTTCCTTACGCAAATTTGTGATTCCACGAGGACTTCTGTATATGTGTGCACGTGTATTTTGTGACTGCTCCAATCTGGAGGAACTGTATTTTCCAGAAAACACGAAATTTAGTGGTGTTGATGTGTTTACCAATTGCATTAAATTAAGTGCACTGACACTCCCAAATTTCAATGGGAAATTGACATTTGCAATTAGTAAATACGAAGAAGAAATGGTCAATAAATTTGGGTATACTGCACTTGATGTTGTGATTGATATTGATTATGAAAATGAACAAAATTACAACAACGACGAGGACAGAATTGCAGACGAGAAGTTACATGAAGTGAAAGACATGTTAAACTGTGATGAAGTTGTGTTAGACAAAATAGAACAATGTAAAGTGTTTGACTTTCGTGAAGCTGAAAGTGTTAGCGGACAACGTTTTTATTATAATAAATATCTACAAACGGTGTACTTCCCATCGACAATTGTGGACTTTAATTTAGAAAACATCAGTAATAGTACCGATAATCCCGTTGAAATATCAGAGAATTGTTGCATCAATATGAACAGAGAGTTTTCATATGACATGACTTCTAATTTTGTGTTTCCAACATCCATCACCAAAATTGGTGTACACAACATTTGGTATGGAGTACCAAGAAAGTATGATGTACCAAGTACTGTTGTCGAAATTGGTAAGAACGCGTTCAATGGGTACTGTTATCTTGAAGAACTTGTCATACCAAAAAGTGTCACGAAAATTGGGAATGGGTTTGTGAGTGGGTGTAGCGTGCTAACAAGTCTTGTGTGCGAAAATGGCACTTCCTTTGATTTAAAGAAAATCACAGAAAGTGATACAAATACACTTCACGAGTTAACCAGAGACACTACACCGACTAAATTGGTGATTCCAAATGGAGTCACTTATGCGTATAATTGTGTATCAGAACTTGCTGATTTAAAGGAACTTTTTTCATTGCCTTCAACACTGAAAAAAGCAGACAAATACTTGTTTTCTAACAACAAAAAGTTGACAAAAATTGAGTTGAATGGAGTAGACAGTGACATTTTCGTGGTCAGCTACGAGTGCCATTTAAGACTCAAAGCACTTGGGTTTCTATTTAACAACATTAAAATGACAGAAAAAGATATTAAAACGTTTGGGTATATATGGGACTCACACTGCTTGGCAAG